GTTCGCTTCCTTGTCTTCGTGGATGAGCCACATCAAACACGTGCCCTACAAGCTTTACGTCTAGCCCTTCGCTACAAAGGAGGAGATATCCCGCCTCGTCACCGATTACTTCCTCTTCCTCAATTGGCTCATGACTTTTTACGACAAGCTCAACATTGGTTGGACAGCTATATACTTCATCACCGAGAATGGTTCCCGCCTTACCACCTACCACGATACACCATTACCGAGAGAAAGGCCCCTACGCTTGGTCAAACCTTGTTCAATCACCACGCATGGCTACGACAGTGGGACCCAGAGAAACCCTTCCTCTGCTGTTGTCAACAACTGCCAGGACAACGCACACCCTCGGATCATGTCGCAGCCCCGGCCGATGTCGTTCTGAACGAATCCATCTATCGGGAGAACATGAGCGACGGCCGATGGTTGACCAAATCTCAATTTCGCAGGTTTACAGTGGCCCCTTTGAACCGATGGTTCAAGTTGTGGCGACAACCTGACCAATCCTTACTTCGCTGGCAAGTCTTTGTCTCACACCAATGGCAACTACACAGCCAAACTCTACGGATGCGACCTGACGGCAGACAGTTACGCGAACTCAAGAACTTACGGGAAAGCTCAGAGCACATCGTGATCTCCCCCATTGATCATGGACCGCATTTGGCTTATGCATTTTGTCCTCAACAATACTTCGACATCTTGACCAAGACCTTTCTGGATCCTGCAGTTTTCTGGCGACGAGACACCAACCCGATGCAGCTATCGGAACATATACAACGAGCCATCAAACGACATGTTCCTACACGCTATCATTGGGCCCTGGCACCCAAAGAATCTTTGCCGTACGCCTACGTGCTCCCCAAGCCCTCCAAACGATTCTTGAAGGGTCGCCCGATTGTCAGCTATTCCAACACGTGGTGTGCCACACTCGCGAAATTTCTTTCCACCGCCGTCCTACAGATGCTACAGACGGTTGTTCCACCTCAGTTCGTTTCTCCTACCGTCCACTCCATCATCCAGACGTTCATCCATGCCTTCCGCAACAACCCGGTCACCGTGGAACTTCAGCTACTTCAACAAGATCTTTCTGGTTTCTTCACTTCGGTTCCACATGATCGCATTTACCACTCGATCTCGTCGTTGACAGACATGTTCGCTCGCCACCAACAGATTCCCTTGGACTCTGACATACAGATCACGATGCGGGACCGCAATTCACTTGGTCGCCTATTTCGAGGCCGATATCGAAAAGCCGGTTCACATTACAAACCTCTATGCCTTCGTGACTTACCTTCATTGGTTATGTTCTTGCTACGTCACTCCTTTTTCACAGTTGGCACGGAGATTTTGGTACAACATCGCGGGGCCTCTATGGGCCCCCTCAATGTGCGGAGCGACCGCAGCCCTGTGGGAAGCCACATTCCACCAACTCATTCGCGATCAGATGCTGACCTCTCGTTATTTCTGTTCTTCACGCTATGTGGACAATCGTTGCCTCCTTCGGATTTGGGATGGGGAACTGGAATCCCTGGACGACTGCCAACGACACCACTCCCACCGAGGCCACGATCCTCTCTCTTCATCCTCTACGTCATCGTATGGTTGGTTCCAAGAGGTATATCTACATCCACATTTCTATGGCCTTCCCTTGGAATTGGAACATGTTCCGGGACAAGAACTGTTGGGCACCGTCGTGGACACCGCACAACGTTCCATCCGACTTGTCCTCCCACGGAACAGTATCTCTTTGCGCTCTCCGTGTTCAGTCTCTTCGACACGCAGGAACACTCAGGGACTTAGCACGCGGATTTATCTCATTTGCCGATTATCCTGGCCCAAAGCCGTCATTGCACCTCAAGTTCGTGAACTTGTTCATCTATATCGTGAACGAGGTTTCTCTGAACGCTCACTGGAAGACGCATCCCGGTCCGTACTTCGTCGTTTTGGACTACGTTGGCGACAGGTCAGTGAACCCCCGGAAAACTTGCTCCCATGCGTGTATTGAACTGGCGCCCTTCCGTTCGTTGATTTATTCGCAGGCATTTTAGGTCAAGTTACCACCAGAGCCCTTAATCATGGCCGGTTCATCCCCCGATTCCTATCTCTTGGACGACGTCACCTGGACACCAGACCCGGACATGGACTCAGACCCGGACGCCTCCTCCGCACATGATGCTGGTCTACCTCCCGCAGGTTCAGATGTTGATGGGGACCCCACACCTCATCGCACCCTTCCTCTTCCTCCCTCTCCTCTCCCAAGAACACGACCCAGCAAACGCCGTCGACGACATCGCCGCCATACTACCTCCTCTTCTTCCACATCATCTCGACCTTCCAAGGCCACGTCAACATCATCTTCGACATCTTCATCGTCTTCATCCTCTTCTTTGTGCCCCACTACGGAACTACAAACAGTGGACCCACCTACCTCCTCGTCCCGTTCGAAGAAACGTCCACGGAAGACACCTTCGGGGACCAGCACTACCACTCCAGCGACAGGAGCTACACCAGCCACGACGAATCCTCCCTCAGCAACATTGGACGCTCCCCCTCGTGTCCGAATTCCTCCCCGAGGAAATGGTTATACATTACATCAAGTACGCCGCAGCAAGTCGGGCACTACACATTCCACCGTTTCATTCCATGGAGATGCCGCAGAACGTCGCCGACAACAGTGGCTCCGACAATGGCGCCAATGCACTCCTGCCTCCCCGTACTATCAGGACGTGCAGAACTGCATTAGACATCGCGCCCGCATTATGTTGGACATCATAGCACATGAACGAGGAGGACCCACTGCAGCTTCGGACAATTTACGGATACGACGCCGCTATGACCTACCAGAAGACCAACTCATTCCTTTGGCACTCATCTACCGGGATTGTGCCGCTCGCAGACGACGGTCCGTCCGCGAACTTCTGAGTACCTGATTCCAACGAGATCCCGCTCTGGAAAACATGCCCCGACATCTCCGTTTCGTCAGTCCCACACCCGCAGCCTTTTTACCGCAGCTTTTCTGTACAAACACAGTTGGTTTCCCTTCCTCACCCACGAATGGCTTCCTTCATTGACGTCCTCCCCATGATCCTCTCCTATTTCGAGATGCAGACTATGATACAATTGGATCCCCGTCATTGCCAACGTCCACACACTGATGACCGCCACACCACCCGCTCCGCCTTCTCCATTTTGACCGCACATCACGGTGATTGTTCCTGGCATCAATATGGCGTTTGGCAACAGTTCCTCGCCGCCCTTCAAGATCACAAGATGAGCGCCCGCAACTTCTTTGGCTTCCACCACGACAACACGGTGTTCACGATCTATCATTATCAGCCCTCGGTCATCGTATACTGCAATCGACTGTGTTGGCGAGCCCACGTCCATCTACGTTCTGCATCACGACTTTGCCTACGTGTTCGTATTCGAGATCCTACCCTAGCACAGTGGCGACCTACTTCGTCTGGACCTTGGATTACCACATGCTGGTGTTCAGCACATTGCCTTTCCTTTTCCAAATGGACACCTACGATTCTCGCCGCCACTCACCTCTTCCACCCATCACAACGGACAATCCTTATTGGCAACAGGAACAACAACGACATGGTCTTCTCCCCGCTCTGAGACGGTGAAGCTTTGGAGGACACTGACGGAAATTTTTGAGACAAAGACCCTCACTTGTGCATCTTGACCGTGGTCCATTTGATCTACCGCAGCCTTTTCAGCAATATTTGGTTAGTCCTCGGCCTCTCCTTTCCTTCCTTTCGTCGCCCGTACACTCATGGCCCCGCACCTACTCGATATTCCTTTGGAGTGGTGGCTTGACTACCTGGTGGAGCTCCGAGTATGGCAAGTTCGTCCGATGACCTCCCCCGATCTCCAGATCCCCAGTACCCTCCTTGATCCACGCTTTGTCATATCACAGCACCGATTCACGACCTCTCAGAACCGCTACTACCTCGACACCCTCCATGGACTTTGTCAACTCAATCCTTCCTTCCAACGACTGGATTACTATGACCCGAACATCTGCGGTTACCAGTACAGCATGTTCACAACCGCACCATCTCCAAGCGTACTTCACGCATTACTTCTGGCTGATCGTCGACTACATTACATAATGAGCCAACTGATACTTCGTCATCGTTGGCAACTTTGCCTTGGTCTACTGGCACCTAGAGTCTACGCCCGTCATGTTGATCGACGTCACTTTCAAAGGCACGAATTGCCAACTCCTCTCCGAGAAGTTCTCCACCGACTTTCCTTGCACCGCTGCCAGATCCTGCAAGTTCACCCGACGGCTCTACCTGCTCTACATGCTCACCGTCTTCGTCTGATTAATTCACCCCGCTACGGCGGGGTGTGTGTGTGACAACCCTGTATCCAAGGGCCTTCTCCTCACGCTCTGCAGCCATTTCCTACTTACGATTTACATATAACTGAACTTGAGTGCAGAGTACACAGCAGGGGCACACGGCATCCACAACCCACCGTGTGCAACGAAGCTACGGTTGTGGATGGGAAGGGGGACTTGGCCAGTCCCCTGTACCTGCAACGCTTGTGACATCCTGGTCTTCGCTGTATATGGTTCATCGTCGTACTGGTTACATACTACATTCTTTCGGCGTGGATGGCCTGGGGCTAAGCCAAGAACCCCATCCGAACACTTGTGGCTGCGCAACAGTGCTTGTGAGTCAGCGCTTGAGTTCGCATCTGCAGTTCACAGTTCTGGTCTTGTCCTTGCTCTTCAGTGTCTGCAGCAGGTTCAGGCCGTGTTGGGGTTTAGTCAGGTTGCAGGTCTAGGTGGCACACTTTGAGCCGTTCAGCTTCGACTTTACTGCACATGAAGATACGTGTTCAAAGTTGCTGGTGCATGGTCGCCCAAGACCTGGGCATCAGGTGGTCCTTCGCATACAGAAACCTCTCTTAGCATTCAGTGTGTGTGTTTTTGTGTTTGTGCGTTATGCATGTGCTTCAGCTTATCTGCTCTGCCCCGGCAGGTCGCACAGCCCTTGGCATCTCTGCGCCGGCGCTGCAATGAGAGATTCAGGGTTTTCGGGAGTTTGAGAAGGTGATGTTCGGGCGTTCTTTTCGCAACGTCACGTGTGTCGTCCCTCTACGTTCTTTTGCTACAGGGTTTCCAGCGGTTTCGCTGTCGCTTTTGGGCGGGTTAGCAGATCGGGTTTCACTAATGCAATGGTATCCCAGTGAAGTCCAGATGCTATCAAACATTGTCATGCAATTATATACCCCCTCCAAAAACCAAAAGCAAAACGGTCTCTACATTGGATGATGTATATGTGTATATACACAAGTATATGCATATAGAATAAGATCGTATATACACATGCGTGTGTGTGCGTGTATGTTATTTGTCAGCCGGTATTGCTTCCTCTAACAGACCTGGAACCCAGAAGCCTGAGCCGCCCAGGATCATCGGCCTCATCTCTGGCGCTGTCATCTACCCTACAGCCTCTTCCCTGATGCGACGGCTGCGCACCTCGACTTTGAAAGATCTGAACCGCCACAAGCTTCATGAACGCTGTCGTCGTCGTCGTGCTGCTGTTGTCTCCCACTCCTAATTAATTACTCCTGGTCTTCCCCGTGCGACTACTCAGACTCCTACTCTTCCTGCTGCTACGACGACGACTACTACTACTACTGCACTACGAGGACGACTACTATCGGTGCTGCTACTGTGAATGCTAGTTATCCACCCATCGCCCCGGAAGCCCTCATCATCCCTAGGGTTCTCGAAGTCCCGAAAACAAAAATTCGGGCCCCTTCGTGGGGTCCTTGGCAATTCTTCAGGTCTGGACGATCCAGTGGATGCGGTGTGGGCCCCAGCAGGAGCAAGCAATCCTGACTTCCTGGGTGGATTCCGTGGCTCTAAACTCCGCAAGACCCTGAACCTCAGTCTGCGATGGCATGGGATTTCCCATTTCGTGGGTTTTGCAGCTGTAGCCCTAAGCCCTGAATCACGAGCCCTAATATACAGGCCTTAATATTTACCTAATCTATGTTGGGCATTCCTTCATATATTTATAGTATAATCTACCCCGAAACACCATTTTTATTTGTTAAAGCCCCTATAATGTTATGCCCTAGATCCCAACCCCAGAGCCTCAACCCTGAACGGTAAGCCTTAGTCGGCCCTAATCAAAGATTTCTGGCGTCAGGGTGTGAGCCCCCGAACAAAGCCTTAATTCCTTAATGTAGGGATCGGGATAGTTGCAAGAAGTACATCGTCTTGTGTAGTGATTTTGTACTAAACTCCGAAACCCTATTGACAATAGTTTCAGGCCACTAGAATATGTTCTGTGACTTCCGGAGGCCCAAACCCCTTGAGCCCAAAACAGTTATTGTATCCAACCAGAAAAAATGTCCCCCGACCCCTCCGACCCCAACCACTCGAATCCTTGCATGCTCTAGACTCTGGATTGCAGCAACTTACAGTGTTCCTGTATGGGTACCGCGTTTTCATAAACCCCTGAAGCAGGCTGACAAAAAAACACCACAATTCAGCATGTACAGGCAACTCCCCAGCAAGAAGCACGCGCCCCAACTCCTAAGCCGTAAATCCTACGCCTCGGCCTGCCTTAGTTTTTCAAGCCCAGGCGTCCCTGAACTCAAGCGTCCCTCCGCCCCCACCCAACCCCGAAACCCTAACCATAAGGTGCCGGTGCATGCGGCCGCGGGCTTTTTCGGTGTCCTCGCCGTGGCGCTCTGCCGGCCGGACTGCGAGGTGCATGCTTAGGGGGGACTCGGTGTTGGATACCGGGGCCTTGCTGAAAGAACAGGGGTTTGGGGAGTAGTATATAATTAGTAATTATTGTGATCTTGGGGTGATGATAGCGGGATACCGGTCCCGGGATATTGTAAGTAAATCTCCAATTTCTGGCAGTGCAGCTCGACACGGTTTTCACATTTCTTTCGCGGTTTGGGGCTTCAGGTATTTCCTAATAGATAGTTCTACAAGTTAGGGTCCCTTCTCAGGTCCCGCAAATAGTACGGCTTCCTTACAAAAAGAAGGACCGGATGAGGAGGGATCTTAATGTCGAGATTGTCCAAAGTTTCAGGTTGAGGTTCCCGGAGAGCCCATTACACACAAGGCGCTGCATATTCGTTTAAGGCTTTGCAAGGGAACATCGCGTTGATACATCCCGGTGTCACGATCACAGTTGTGGCGTATTTATTAGCCGCAATTGGCTATGGGGCGAGGGGGGGTAGATCATCAGAAGCAATACGAATACGAATGCTGTCTGAGGCCAAGAGAATCCCATCACATCTGAAGCCCAAAGCCATTCCAAGCCCCCAAACCCTAAACCCTCAAAGCCAAAGCCGAAGCCGTGAAATCCTAAACCCTAAAGCATCCTCTACTTTCCTTTCCGAAGCCTTCTCCGACAGCTTAGTCTTAGTGTTCATTCTGTCAGTTCCCATGGCGGTGTCGTCATGGGTTTAGGGTTCAGTATGGTTTCTTATCAAGGGTGTTTGTAAGGGCCCCGGTAAGGGTCCCATTGTTATGGGCTGCAGGGTTTAAGGCATGAAACCTTTCTATGGGTCACAGGGATGGAGCCAATAGACTTTCGGCTTTGAGCCGAAGGCCAACGCCCCAAGAGCCTGAGCCTTGCAGAAGTACGCAGGTCTGAAGATTGAGTAAGTTCGATTCCTTCATAATCGCGTTTATGACTGTACGAGAATACGGCCCATAACTCTTTTCTACATCTCTCGGTTGTTCTAAACCAAAGCCACCTAAGTTTAAGAGCCCGTAACCTTCGCGAGGCCTTCGCACGAGCAGGCCCTTTAAACAAGGCACCCGTGTGATTCTGCTTGTCGTGCCGGTTCTAGACGTGTAGGGAGTCTGGGAGTAATCTTGCGTACGTCATATGCTCATTTGGCTTTATTTTTTGATTGGGAGTCTCCTGCATTCGAAGTCTTACGCTTCTGCAGTTGACAGCTCTTGCAAGATGGAGGCCTTCGTTCGGGACTGGGGTTTACGCAGTTTGCAGTAAGCACTAACTCCTGCCGGGGCTCCTATGTCAGACGTTGGGATCTTTCTGGGTTTCTGATACGCATACTGCGACAGTTATTCTGCAGACGTCGCGCTTTGGACGTATATGCAATGTGGGCTTTAAACTTCCGGGGCACTGGGTGCAGTAAAGTCCAGAGACTAGTATTTTTTCTATGCGTTCACTGGTCGGCTTTTCTTCGTTGGAGAGGTTCGACTTGGGCTAAGGGTAGCTGATTTAGGAAATTAAAGTCCCAAAGGGTCGTACTGTCCTGGGGGATGACTCCCCAAATCATAACCGCAATTCCTAGGATAGAAATCCTACATTCTACCATATGGGTACTTGTAGGAGCCCTTTAAAGGAACCCTAAGCCCTTAATGGAACCTTTATAGAAGCCCTACGTTCTACCATAAAGGGCCATGGTTTTTTTTTTCGAAGGTGCGGCCAACCCTTGTTTGCGAGGTGCGGCCAAGGGTCCCTGGTGCATGCGGTCCCCTGGTCCTCTGGTCCTTGGTCCTGTGGTTCCCTGGTCCTCCGGTCTGCTGGTCCTCTGGTCCTGTGGTGTCCGTGCATGCGGTCCCCAGTCCGCTGGTCCTTGGTCCTGTAGTCCTCTGGCCCTCTGGTCTGCTGGTCCTCTGGTCCCGTGCTCTCCTGGTCCCGTGGTTTCCTGGTCCTGCGGTCCGCCGGTCCCTCGGTCCCGCAAAAGCAACAAGAAAGCAAACAAGGAATAACACAAATAAAGCACAACCCCAGACGAAAGAAAAGCAGAAGAAAGATGATGAAGGAAAGAAAGCCAGGAAGGAAGCACAAAAGAAAGCAAGAAAGCACAGGAGCTAGCAAGGAATGAAAGAGAAACAAGAACAGGAACCCATTTTTGTTTGTGCCCTTTTTTTTGGCCCTCTTTCTTTTGCTCCCACGTCCTGTTATTTACACAGGGAAGGAAGAAAGCAAGGAAAAAAGGAAGGAGGAAGGAAGGAAGGAAGGACGGTAGTATTTCAGTAATATATATATATAGTATACATAGTACATGTTGTACATATAGTATGTATATATATATATATAGTATGTACAGTAAAGATAATATATTATAATATAATATAATGGAATATAATATGATATATTATAATATAATGTAATAAAATATAATGTAACATAATATAATATAGTATAATATAACAAAATGTAATCTAATATAATGTAGTATAATATATTATAATGTAATATAATATAATATACTGTAATGTAATGTAATATAACATAATATAATATAATGTAATATAATGTAATATAATGTAATATAATGTAATTGCGAACGGACTGCGATGCCTTGTCTAGTTCTAAGGTGTCACTATAAGAGCTGTGAGCAAGACGGTGTAAAGTGCAAGAGAAGGGGGCACGCTACGCGTCCCTCGACTCTAAGGGGCATGCTACGCATCCCTCGTCTTTACCTTTCTATGTGACCGCCAACGCAACGTTTGGCTCAAGTCAATGCCCATAGCTAAGTGCTATATGTGTCTTCTATCCTGAGCAATCAGAGCTATCCCGTTGCACAGACGAACCGCCGCCGGCAGTGAGTGCAAAAGGAACGGCCGCCGGTTCTGCCTGCATAGGATCGCACGTGTGGAAGTAAGAGGGAGAGACAGGGTCCAGTCTGTGGAGAGTGCTAGCCAGCCACACCTACATTCATTACAGCTCTGGTGGGGAGAGCAGCAACCAAGTCGAGATCAATCCCCCACGCAGGTTATCAGCCGTACGCGGCTCTGCCTTTCTACAGCAACGACTACTTGATCTACTACGACCACAATGAACTCAGGATCAAGCCAAGATACGACAATGACTTTCGGTGCCGATGTGGCAGCGCCAGCCGTTGGTGAGTCAACAGCTGATGACACAGTGGTGCAATCCGTTGATAGCTCCACGGAAGATGACAAAGGTCAATCTTCTGCGCTTGCCATTGCAAAGGCAGTTCCCAAGGGGAAAGCAAAGAGTCTACCAAGAGCATCTACGCCTTCACGTCCGACATCCACAGGTTCGAGGACGGGCAAGGCTCCAGAACGACGGGCCGAAGCGTCTGGTTTTCAGGCACCTCGGACTACGTCCAGGGCTAAGGACAAAGGAGTCAAGACCTTGGAAAAGAAGTCAAGACCATCATCTTCGAGAAGCTCTTCAGCACGATCGAGGACTTCGGCTACTCGTGGGCGTGACAAGTCCATGACTTGGAATCGGATGGTTACCAATCAACCACGCGATTCTGACGATCTGGACATGACTCTGGATACGATTCCTGCACGTGGTGATGCGTCATCCGTGGCCACGCCTGCAATAGCTGACGGTCCGAATGCCTACCAGGAACTGACGATTTCGCAACAGTTCGAAGCATCGAACCTTGCACAGCAGATGTACTATCGCAGTCAGGTGCAAGAATACGAAGGAATCGTCCAGACCCTGATGGACAAGATCAAGGAGATGCAGCAAGAAGATGAAGGATCTGGAATTCGCATTGAAGAATTGGAACGACAACGTGATCATGCATGCTTAGCCATGAGGCACATCAACAATGTCAATCAGGAGATGAAGCGAGACTATGAAACAGCTTTGTTTCGCATGGATGAGCAGAACTCTGCTCAACAACGTCAAGCACATGCCGTTGCCGAGGATTTAGCTCAACAGCTACACGTGTTCCGCACGGAGGCAGCCACCAACTTTGTGCAGTTGGAGGCAAGAGCGCAAGGTGATGGTGAGCTTATGGCACGTGAGTATGAGCGTCTGACTCATGAACTTCATGAACACGCCAGAGAGAACTTGGTCCTCCGGTCAAACACAGCAAGTTCGGAACAAGCCTTACAAGCAATGCAGGAACGATTCCACTTGGTCAAGAACCAGGAGTTGCGGGCTGTGAACGAGATCCAAGGGCTAGCTGGAAACAGCGCAGCCATTGAACAAGAACGATTTCGGCTTCGCGAACGTCTTGGTGAAGAGGAAGAGTACCGCAGAATGGCTGTGAAGAGGATGCAAGAAGCAGAGGAACGACTTCATCAGAATGAAGATCATGCAAGGCGATCATTGCCTACCTTGCACGACGAGCTGAGTGAACTCAGGAAAACGCTCAAAGCACAAGAAGATCTTCAAGCGAGGACACGCAGCGAATTGGAGGCAGCACGAAACTCCAATCAAGGAGGAGCGACGCGACCTTCGAGCATGCCCATGTCTTCGAGGACTACTGAGTCTGGCTGGGAGCACGTAGGAAAGGATGTAATGCCTGCATTTTCCGTAGGAGATGAGGTACGATCCCCTGAAATACGGTCCCCAAGTCAAGTTAGTCCAGTCGCCAAAGAGAAGTTCGCATTCTCGGAATCGGACAAGGACAAGAACCTTGTGATGGACGGAATTCCATTCACCGGTGGAAACTTCTTCACTGGCCGCAGTTCAATGCCAATCGTGGCGGATGCAATGCCCGAGCACCACGTGCCAGGTATTAGCAGCCCAGCGCTTGCGCGTTCCACGCCTAGTGCAGCCACTTTGTTTGGCATACCAAGCGGATTTCATGGGAAAAGTGATGCGGCAGCCGTGCGTGATCGACAGCTACGCGAACTCTTGGGGGATCGCGGGATGTTGGGATCGAAGTCCACAGCATCGGCCAGCTCCTCAAGACCTGTTGGCATCGACGGTGTCACCGCATCTACTAAGGGCAACGACCTCATTGGTCCCCCTGTCGCCTATGACGATTCCATCCATGAGGCAAGGAGGCGTCAGATCGAGAAAGAGATCGCGGAACAGTACGAGGAGAAGATTGCTGATCTGCGAAGTGAAGTACTCAAGGCTCAGAAAGCCGAACAACGTCTCAGAGCTGATCGTGATGAGTGGAGATTATTCGCTGAAACGATTCAAGAAAACAATGGAGACGATGACGGTGATGAAGCTGGCGACGAGAACGGAGAGGAAGAGCATGATGAAGGTACCGGCACGGGGTATGATCCTCCAGATCCGCCTGACGACGATGATGACAAGAAGAAAGGTGGAGGGGGCAAACCCGAATCGGATCCTGGTTCGCATGCGCGTGATCCTGATGGAGATGCGGATCCTGAAGTCACAGAGGTGAGAATTTCCAGGAGGGAAGCCGACAAAGTTACTGTTCCTCCATGGCCTACTCTCACTCATCTCAACAACTGGCGATCTGTGTGCACGGCAAATGTCTTAGGGGCATCAGCCGACCCACATCATGAGGACTGGATGTTATGGCTGGCACCAGCGTTCAACCCATTCCCTGATGTCGAAGCATTGAATGATTCAGGACACAAGAAGTTCAAGAGCATAGACGTCAAATTGGGGATCGCCATGGTCGCAATGCTACGTGCCGGTGGTGACAAATCAGCTGACCTGTACCTCGAGGTGAACCGGAAGGCCAACGATTACATCAGCAGGCCTGACGTGAAGATCATCAAAGGACGACAAGTCATCGCGATGATGTACGAAAGTTTTCGAACACATGATCGTCTTGACATGATCATCACTCTTGAGTATTTGGTGAAGCTCCAGTACCAAGGCGACAACAAGCTCCATACGTTCAAGCAGACGTGGTTGGAAGTTCTGGGACGGATGAGACCAGAGGACATTCCATCCAAAACAGCTCTCCGTGATTGCTTGTACAGCAAGATCAAGGACTCGCCCGCAATGAAAATGGACTTGGGCATGCACTATGAACACCTGCCCTACAATCATGAAGATCGATCGTACGACAACCTGATGAAGATCATTGATCGTACCATCATGCGGAAACGAGAACAGTCAAATCTCACTCAGACT